ATAATAAAGCGTCTCCAAACATGGTATTATGAACTATACGATTTTTTGTTTGAACGGCCTTGTCTTGTAATTAAGGACTAGTATAGTAATGGATCGAGTGGGTCGTTTGGTACTGACCTAAAGTAATCGCTTGAACCACTTAGCACCGATCGATGTATCGGGAATGTGTCTCCGTTATCGAGTATCAATGACGCGTCGCAGAGTTTGACGTTCAGTCGGAGTTCGTTAAAGCCATTTAGAGTGTGCATGGACACTTGCCGGGTCAGTCGACGTCTGTATGAATCATCTCCGTCAATTTTCTTAATAACATCTAACGTGTGCATAGTTTTGTTTTTAATTTGTTTTAAAAGAGATTTGTTATATAATATTATACGTCTTAATAACTTACTGTTCATGCTATAAAGGTTAAAACTATTGACTCGATGTTTGTATACCTATACAGTTAAAATATCAAAATAATATATCTGTCGATTATATAATCGTAAAAAATTGATGTTTGAGAATTATAAATTTTTATTTTTTCTAACACGAGTGTATAAACACTCTAGTTAGTATAGAAACGAAAACATACATATACAGATACAGAATATATTAATCTACATGACGTGTAGGTGTACTGAATTTATGTTTATGTAAAAGTTATAAAGTCTACAATCTACACTGCAGGTACAGTCGTACAGATAAATAAATAATTGGTCACTGAAAATTTAAATAGTACGTGACGGTAATTTTATAAACTTATAGCTGGTTATCTAAAATTATTACGGCAACGTCAGAGTCAAGAAACCATAGGCGTAAAATGAGGAGGGGCCTAAGCCTAACCCTCCAATATATATTTACCAACTTAGAATAATAAACTATATTAATACTTAATATTTCTAGCTCCCCTCCCCCCAGATTTTTAACAATATTTACACCATTGTAGGATACCATAATGATATTATTATATCGATTGTAAGTATACATCCAACTCAGATTAACCGTACTATCTACGTCTGTACATAATATTATATAAGTAGCCAGTAGGTATAACCTATTGTGGTAAAATAGTAAGAAACACATATCTACAGCAACATATGGCATGTAAAATAATCAATCGGTGCCGTTGGCTCCTTCGGTGGAACCCGATTGAGCACTGTCCGTATTTTTTAACAACCCGATTGATGAGCACTGTCAATTGTCAAACGAAGCAAAGTTGTACATTTTTCTGTCAGTCTGCATTCTGCAACTATGCACCGCACATTCACGTCTTATTAAATACTCGTACACTAAGTAAAGTTCAGTTGTACGATAAGAACTAGATATTATTTGTTATCTACACATATATAATTCTATTTTTGTGATTTTTGGAAACTATTAAGCCATTAAATATTTAATTGGGTTTTTGGATTGTTAACCAAGAGTAACATGGAGTTTATAGACTCAACTATCAGTCGTTAATCGTTGTTTATCGTTACTCGTTTCACCATTTTATTTTAGTATAAATAGAATTTACCAAAGGTGGGCATTAACTAGTTAAAAAGTTAAATTTTTTTCAACTTTTTAACTTAACTAGTTTAATTTACAGTTGAAATAACTTAGCTTTTCTCAGTTGATTTAAAAAAAAATCCATCAAGTTAAAAACATTTTGAAATTTTTGGTTTATACGTAAATATTACTATATCAGTATAAAATAAAAATAATCCAATACAAAATCACAAACATTTCCGTTTTTTTCCTTGATAACATAATTTTGTGTATATTAATATATTTTATTAAGTTGTAAATTATATATTAGGTGAATTGCAATTATAAATGTTTTTAATAAAATTAATAATTTTAAATTACAAATTGACAATCGTTATGTTTTAATGTTATATGACTTATAATTAGAGCAAGGATTTTGGTGACTTTTGCATTTTTTTTCTTTAAGTGCTATACAATTCTAACTAAAAACTAAATTTGTTTCGTGATATAACAATAAGGAAAATTTAATTTTAATTTTGTATTTTTTTGCATTTTTTGAATTTTTGGTGTTAAATGCATTGTATTGCATTTTTAAGGTCATTTTTACATAATATTACAAATATTACGTTCATTTTGTGTATTTAAATTTTAAACTAATTATTGCTTATTTTAACCTTTTTAATATGTGTTCTATAGACTATAGGTAATTTTTATTTTGCATTTTTTTGCATTTTTTGTGTTAAATGCATTTTATTGCATTTTAAGGTCATTTTTACAAAATATTACAAATATTCCGTTCACTTTGTGTATTTAAACTAATTTTAGATTCTGAGCGGAGCAAGGAAGCTAGTGGTTTTACAATGGTGTTTATTTTTTTATTTATTTTATTTTTTTTTTTATATCCTGTATACAAAATTTCTACCAGAAGGAGTGCTTTGATTTCAACATATAGTACCTTATCTTTTAGCAAATTGGACCAAGATGGTACTTTAAAGAGGTCATTTTTCGATTTTCTCAATAGTTATTTAATGCCACGGGAAAAAGTACTGAAAAATTACGAAAAACCACTTAAAATGGGATTTTAATTTCTAACAATTTGTTTATCACCGTAGCAACGAATAAAAAAAATAATAATTAAATAAATAAAATAATTAATGACAATATAAAATATACAGACTGACAAACCGTCTCCGTTCAGAATCGTTTTTCTTATACAATGATATTATATCATTGAATTCAAGTTTAATACAATCCATTAAAAAATGACCAACTTGTAACCTACTGTACAGCTGAGCGACATCCACTTACCTGCCTTTTTGTTTATTTTAAGCTTTTTTAATGTGTTGTATTGGTAAAATAATCATATTTATTTTCAAAGTATATTTTTTTCGCTCATCTAAGTACATTTTTTAGAGTTTTTAGGTCATTTTTGCATTTTTTTTAGTGCATTTTTGTGTATTTTTTAGGTCATTAAAATCCTAGCTCTACTTATAATAATTATGAAGGTCATGTACTCATCTTCACTTATTATGAAATTCAATTGCTATACGATATAAAAAAATTATATTTGTTAAATTATTAATTTGAGATGAGTACCTATAGTTTAAATTAGTAAATAATAGAAAAGTAAAATGGTATACAGTGTACATTATGTTAAAAGTTCTATAAAATTGTTTTTCATAATTTATAAATTATAAACTAGAAAGACACATTCACTCTTTATGTAATTTACTTACTAATTTAAAAAAAAAATAGATTAACATTTTTTAAACTGAGTAAAGTTAATATTTTTTTTCCACTTATCAGCTATCGAGTTAAATTTATAATTTGTTAACTGTTAACTTTTAATGTATCGATCTTGTGTCCTCTTAACTTAACTTAACTCGAGTTAGGTAATTATTCTCATTAACTTGCCCACCTTTGGATTTTACAGTATAAGTAAACTAATTTTCTTTTTATATACACCAATGGAAAATTGTTATATTAAACTTAATACCGGAAAGCGGAAAATAATTGGAAAATGTTGGACCGAATGTTACACAAAAAGTTATTTATGGTACTACAAACATTAATTTTTTATGGTATTTTCTTAAATTTGTTATCTTTATTTTCTCATTAATTTACCAATATATGTTATAGATGTTAGAAACCATTAACAATTGTATATTATATAAATTAATATATTGGATCATATTATATGATTATAAAAAGGTCAAACATGTCCATTGTACACAATGTGCAGTTATTAATTGTTATAAATAATGTGGTTATGTTGAATGTTGATTAAATGTATATAATATAAATTTAATTACACCCACATATTGCAAAAATACGCAAGCCATAGCGTACAGTGGGCAGTGGTCAAATGATTATTATTACAGAGAACAACAAGAATCGCAGTATCTATAGTTTCTAGTGAATAGCGATAAATCAGTGGCACTACCGCAGTACCGTATACATTCTATACTTAATTTATAGTCTTCACCGATTATACTATAGAAATATTTATTGTAATAAAACCTATTAAGACTGAGAGAAGAAAAATCTAGATTGTTCTGTATGAGTATAGTTGTGTATTACCTATACGTTTCATATAATTTTAAAAATTTCAATTATAGAAAAATATTATGTTTTTATTCTTAATTTTTTTAAAATTAAATTAAAACAATATTTACAATCTGTAGTTGTATTTGTATTCATTAAGTAAATTTGAGATAAACTATGGTAAATTTAGTATTATACCTACATATAGGTATACCGTGGTAGAATCTAAGTATATGTGGAGACGTGGAGTTGAGAATGTTGGCTTTATAATTGTTATAGAGTTATATGGTGATAAATCACTAGGTATTTTTGGAGAAGTCTTGCATGGATTTGGAAGCTAGATGAGAAGGATTTGATTTGACGATCAAGAAAGGTGTGAATCAGAAGGTGATATCTAGTTAACAAGTAAAGTGGTGCTGGAGGAAACACTTTACAATAAATATGTTTTGGGATGGATGTAAGATACATTTTTTCTGACAGGTTTTTTGTAAGGTTTTTGTTATCATCGTTACTTATTAAGCTTGATATATTTTGTGGATGCCGTCTAATATATTGTCACATTGCATACAGAGGTATGGGGGGTTATACGTTTAAAAATTAGACGTAAATTAGCTCAAACAAAATCCAAGAGGCACTCAAATAGTCAATGGACAGCAATGTTTAAATAAATAGTTTTAATCCATATATATAGTAGTATAGTACATACATAATTGTAGGTGTATAATATGATATTTATTATATCCAGTCTATAGATTAAATTGTTCGCAACTCGGCAGCCGCTTCAAAGTCAATAACATTTGTTTTTTTTTTAAATATATATACTATCAACCTCATTTTACATTCACGTTAGTCATTGAAAGTATAATGTATTGATAGGTAGGTACAATGGATAAAACTATATTTGGTGAAAAAAAAATATACACGGCGGTATTAGACGGCCTCGTATAAAAATAAAAATAAATATAATCAGCCCGCAGACACCGGGCAAGTTAGGATTTTGTTTGCTGAACTCATCGACGACCGTCTCCGCATCTGATCCCGTCCTCGGCGATCGAATCTTTTAGGTACTCCCGGTACCCTTCGGCGCCAGTGAATATGACGTCCACCCACACTCGGACTGCTTGACCAGTCGCCGCCGACAAGTAGAAGGTCCGCTGGGCGGTCTTTACCACGAATGCGCAACCCTGTCCCTTGGTGCTGTTTGTGTGGTCGACGTACACTTCCTGAATGTCCTGTTTGTATCAACACATTGGAAACAATAATATTAATAAAATATACTAAATAGCAATGTGAATAACACACAACATGGTAGGAAATTGTTGGCGCACATTTTCACAAAACGTAGCGCTCGCTTTGCGAGATCGAGCAACCCTGAGAGCACTGCACAAAAACAAAACATACTTTAATTGAATTTATATTCAATAGTTTTTATATAATTACATCGCATTGTGAAATTTATATTCTACAAAAATACTAGAATACATAGGTTACGTTGTCATTAACTTTTTGATCGAATCGAGAATGTATGGAATTGATAGAAATCTAATAGGTACAATATTTATACGTAGCGCCAGTATGCATTTACTTAATTCGGGTATACGTATATACAATAGACGCATTTTATATTAGGAATGTGAATTTTTCAAATTGAATTAACTATTTCTTCGGAGTCCGGGATATTGATAAAATCGTATAAACTGTTCAACGCGCATTTATTTTTTAGCCGGTAGGTACCTATTTCAAATTCTCAAATTCTATACCCTAATAATATATCAATTCTATATCATGCAAGAATACAATATTTGCCTTTAAAAATAAAACATTCGAATGATCAGAATTATCAGAACATTAACAAAATATTATATTATAATGAGTACCTAGGTAATGTTGCGCGGTAGTTTTTAATTTTATCTATATTTTATAAATTTCAATATTTGAAATTTAAAAATAAAATGTTGGTCACAAAACGTATGTAGGTAAGCACAATTAGAGTAAAAACGATTTTGGAGATGGGGGGCGAGCTTAACTCTCCTAATTACTATTCTCAGCACGCCCCCCCCTCTGAATGTGGTTTCATACATCCGCTTATAAACCTTAAGGCTGATTCGCATTGAGTTACAATATTCACATTCATAAATGCGTACAAACGCGGAGTACAACGGAATACGCACAAGTTGCTATCGGGTGGACAACATTTTACAGAAAAATTTCACAACACACACACACACACACACACCTGAAAACGGATGGACGCCCTTGGTGGGATTTTCTTCTCAGTCGAGGCGGCAGCGCCCGCTCGTTGGTTAGCGGCGTCGACGCCGTCATCCGACCGGCGGCGATAATAGGACAGGGTCCTCGACCGCCGGTCGAACACGAACCATCTCTTCAGCCACTTGCGTCCGCCCCGGCGCGCGTTCTTTCCGCCGGCACCAGACAGCTTTTTCAAGTAGCCTCGACACGACGTGCTGTCGATCCAGAAGTGCCGGTCAACGCCGCCGCTGTCGTCGTCCAGCTGGTGTCCCGCCGACTCGATGTGCGCGCGCAAGTCGAACGCCATCCGGTTCTCTGTCGAGCCGTCGCCGTCGTACCGGATCGGCAGATATCTAGTCAACGGCCTCTGCAGCGGTAACACAAAAAACGCATCGTATTTTCATCATATTTTATTTTATAGGTAGCTACGCGTAAGCAAAACGTGCTGCAGTTGCATCGCGAATCATTTATCAAAATTAATACATAATATTTTAGATGGATGTATATCTATGAAGCCATATAAAGCAACCGTGTGTACAAGTACGTTTTGTAGTCGCTATGAGTGCACACTGCACAGGTGGTACTAACTTTTGTGATGTCCGACGGAGACGTTTTGTTTTTTGGTCGTAGTTTGATCGTGGCCCCTCCGTCGAAGATAGTCGACATTGACATTCGTGAAATAGAGTCATCCGATATCGGTCTGGTACAACCATCGTCCTGCAGTAACACACAACGAGGAAACATTAATCTAATTTATAGTCGCCAGAGGCAATGGGATCGTTTAAATTGTAATTTATACATAGTTTGTACATAATAATATAATACCATAAAAACATGCATAAAACAAAAAGATTCTATTTCAATACGACGAGAAGAAGTTTCAGTGACAATTTAGAGTCACCGAATGACTATATCCCCCTTTCAACGGGACTATTATAGCTGCAGGGGTAAGATCCGACTGACGGATGTCTATTTAACCGGAAGTAACCGGTAGGTAACGAAAACAATTATTACCTCGCCACCACTGCTGCCTATACTGCTACAGCACGTAGTCGTCATGCTACCAGTCATCAAGCTATTGATATTATTGGCCGTCGTGTCTTCCGTCACGGGAGTGGCTGTCGAAAACCACGGTGACCTTGATGGCTGCATGTCCCACGACAACGACGACGGTGATCTCGATGACATTGGAGATTTTAATTGCTGGTCCCACGACCACTCCAAAGACTTGGGTGTTTGATGTTCTGCTGCTGGTTGCATTTCGTAGTGAAACTGATGGGGACGTCGGTATTGGTCTGATATGGTGTTTGTTGCAGTCGTCGTACCGGCTACGGTGGCGTCCAGATCTTGCAGTTTCTTGTGACCCTATGATCACAATAATTGTAAGTAAGACATTAAATAACAAGTTGTATATTAGCTATAGGTATATTATAATATGGGGAATAATTTATTTGAATAACTTAATTATTTTTGACGAATTTTCAAACACATCAAGATAAACTTGTTTAAAGAAAATAATTTGTATTTTTTAAATATTATTATTGAAAAAAGAAGTGTTTTATTATTTTCTTACACTTCATAAGAATGCAATTCCAATATTTTTAACCAAGCATGTCAATAAAAACAGAGGGTTCTAAATAGTTAAAACATTCGTTTACACTAAAAAATAGGTCATCCTATTAATATTATAAATGCGATAAATGTCTGTGACTTTGTTACTCTTTCACTTAAAAACTACTGAATGGATTTTAATGAAACTTTGCAATAATATAGCTTATACATCCGAATAACACATACTCTATAAATTATCACCCTAGGTCCAACCAGGGGATGTGCTCAAACGGGGAGTTAGAGATTTACGGTGGATATTTTTGTTTATAAATGGTTGCCATGGGTTTTAAAACTATTATAATAATTATTATTGGTTGCCGTGAAATAAGTGTATTCATTCAATGCATTTAATTGTTTGTACGCTGTGTTATGTATCATTACGTAAATATTGAGCGTATTATACTCACGTATAAGTTACGTACATGGTACATAAAACAATCACGATGCCACGTATTCGTGGACGAGGAGGAAATATTGGTCGATAGACTCGGCATTCACAATTAGTCCAACCGCATAGGAGGAGTTCAGTAACATACTTGGTATAACTTTGATACTTTAGAGTTAAATGATACACTTATGTACAAACAGCATGGGGTCCGCGATCTATCGCAGGTAGATTGCCTGCCTGATAATATAGGTACTGCTGCGAATCAGAATTTTTATTCCGGGCAACGGAAATGTTAAGATAAGTTTTGAACACCATACACTGAATATTAAATAACAATAATTGAACAAAGTTTGAGTCATATAGAGTTGATACTTTTAACGGGTAACGAAGTGCACGGGATCAGCTAGTATTAATATATTATGCTCAGATTAAAATGTTCTATATATATTCACCAAAACGATATTCCAAACTTTTGCCACAACGCGATATTGGTTACTTCTAAACTCGCCTAAAAAAATGTCCTAATGAAATGCCATCCTAAAAGTGAATGTGACGTCGATCTATATAGTCAGCCCGGATTTAAGATAGTCCTTGCAGTCCATTGTAACCAATGATAATGTAAAAATTAAATCATAATTTATTAACAGTGGTATATAATATATCGTTTACCATAATACATTTATTTTTTGTTGAATTGTTAATATTACAACTATTTTAAAGTGTCGACATTTTTACGTTCTTATAAATATTTTTCGACGGTATTAGTAATATGTTTTAAAAAGTCAAACGTAAAATTAGAACAGTGTTTTTCATTCATACAATTTTAATACGACGAGATTAAATAGATAAACACAAAACACCCCCACAAATAGTTTTGAAAACATCCGGTTTTAGGTATTTGAAAAAAAATCATATACTCAAAAGAGAACTGCAGGACGTACAAATTACAGGATTTTTGATTTAAATCTAAGATAACCACTATAAAACCACTTATGATACAGTTAGGTATACAGTCATCGACTATATCATGCTTACATTATATATATTTATATTCTAATGACGGCTGTATTTTTATTATTTAACATCGAAATCGTAAAAGCGTGACTAAATAAGTTTTTATTTTCGGAAAATGTCGATTAGCATTTGAGGGATATCGATTTCGAAAAGTCTAAATTATTATTAGGTACGTTTCGTACAGCTTATATAATCGGAAAGTTCTATCCAAACAACATTCACGTGTGCTTAAAATACCTGTTGAATGGACAATGTCGCTGTGTTTATGTCAGTCCGCAGTGCTCGTAGCTGGTCATCGCCCACGCTTCGGAGCTGATCGAGCTGAGCGCGTAACCACTCGGCGCGTGCCCGTCGAGCCCGTCTGACCGCCACGGCCGCGGCCCGGTCCCTGTGCAACTCTTCTCTGCGAGCCAGCCATCCGGCCTCCTCTTCAAGCAATCCGAATTCTACATCTTCGTACAACTGCAGGACACATATCAGCATTTCGTAAATATATATAATATAGGGACTATTATCGTAGACGAAAAAATAATCGTCTTAGTCATCGACCGTAACGTTGTTTTCATGAATCGTTACGATATAATGACGTAATATGTTATTATTTTGTAACTTTGTTAATATTATTATATGTCTCACCTTCTGTTCGGCATCCAACAGTTCCGTCTGTTTGTCAATGGAAGCACGTATTTCAGTTTTCAGCACGTCGTTGTCCTCGATCGATTCTAATCGCTTCCGTAACCTATGACGATTATTGGTATATTATATTATATCAAAGTAGATTATTATTTGTAACTATAAACAACATGTAAATTGTAATACACTGTGGGTGTATACTATGTAGACACTATAATTAGATTTTATAAATATGGCGTTGGGTGGGTAGCATAATAAACTATAGGTAGTGGTGTAAACGACAATATTAGATCCATACGAGATAGTAACCGTGGCACAATTATTATAAGGGAATGGCTCGAGGGATGGATAAAAAAAATAAAAAAATGTTTTTAAAACAATTAACTACAAACACGATTATAAAGAACATAATATATTTCGTTATTATCACGACTAAAAAAATACCAGTGCTGGGTAAATAAACTATTTTTTTAACTCGTTACCTAAGTTAAATATATAATGTAGAAAATTATAAGATAAATTCAAAGTTTCTTTTCTTTAATTTTAACTCGTTACCTAAGTTAAATATATAATGTAGACAATTATAAGATAAGTTTAAAGTTTCTTTTCTTTAATTTTAACAAAAACCGTTTATACTTTCAAACATTAATGTTCAAGGTTTTAATACTTCCCTAACATTTCCCCCCAAAATATTCCGAACTCGTGATCTCACCCCATGCCTTAGGTAAGTTAACTAATGACTTGTATTTAATGTACCATAAATAAATAAATAATAAATCTATAAAATATAGTACACTTAATTATAGTTAATTGTAATATATACTAATTATAGTTAATTAAGTATATTTAATCTATGATTAATGATTAAACTAAAAAGATAAAGTAGGAATAACGAATGATTCACAATAAATTAATAAATATTATTTTTAATTAAAAACATTTGTGCTATTACTGTATTATGTCGTCAACACACCCAAGTCATCTTACCCCACAACATATTTTTAATTTTTAAATTTATTTAATAAATACTTTTGATATTTCGGAACTTTTTACTCTAAACTAACGTAAAATATTATTGAACCGTGGTTTAGACGAAAAATGTTGAGAAAACAAATAATTCTAATCTGAATAACCCTCAGTATCGAAAAACAAGTTGTTTTTATCATTTTATCTACATGTAATTAATTACTCAATTACTAAAATTAATTAATATCATAATTTTTTTAAGAAATATAATTAATTCGTCATTTTTACCACACTCTCTTATCAGTTATCTACATTTTATTTAAACTGTATATTATGCATCGATGCCAAAGTACAACAAGTTAAATTAGATAAAAGTGTTAGACTAAAACAAAAAATATAGGTACATAATACATATAACTGTATAAGGGAAAGTATAACAGAAACACGGTTTAAAAAATCCGACTCGGTTGGGTTTAAATGGATTTTTAGCTTTTTTAATAGGGAAGTTCCCTACGACCCTACAGACCTTACTTACAACACATAAATGTACCATTTTAATTTTGTTTAGACAAATACAAATATTATATTCCCATCTTCATTCTACGGTTGGTCACTCTGACCGTCGGAGTAAAATGTAAAATTATAATATTTAATGTTTTTGCTTGCATATTTTGTTTTTATTGTTACTAAAAAGTAATAAATATATTTATGCAGTTTAAGGTTTATTAATTTTTTTGTTTGTTGGTTTTTTTTACTGGTTTTTTTTACTGTGTTTTATAACTGGGCCCAACCCATTAAAACCCAATGGGTTTTAATAGGTTGAACCTAGTACTTTGAACCCTGAACAGAAACCATAACAGAAAGGATTTTCCTAATAACAGAAGCTATTTATTATTTAATTTAATTTTTCAAAAATATTATGGCACCACAACGTGAATTGTTATCGGGTAGGCTGTGCCATTGTTGAAAGATTTGAAATTAATGTTTTTGGGTGGACTGTTTTTTGTATGAAAATTTATATAAAGTTGAGTTTATATAGGTACTTACGTTATTTTGAACCCTACAGAAATTCTGAGATAATAAATTCAACATTTTGACAATCTACAATTTAGTATTTTTTAATCATTTAAATCTGATGATATTTTTTTTGTTCTTTGTTTTATTATACTTGTTAGCCCCCCCCCCTCACCCCAAACACGGGTAGTGGTTGTCTGTAGTTATAGACGACTAGTACCTAGGGTACCATCATATTTTTATAAACTTTTTGTTATTTGAATATGTAATATTACGGTCGTCCATTTTGGTGAGGTCAAATTCGCGTACATTCAAGTCCTTAAGTAGTACAAAAACAAGCAATTACCCTTGGAGTGTTCGCCGGTGTCCTGCCAACTGTGAATCAGCTGCCATCCTCTGGTCCTGCTGTTTCACAGTACAGACATCCATTTTTTGCCGGCAATCAGCCACGGCCCGGTCCAAACCGTCTACGATGTTGTCCGACTGACGGGTTTCATCATCGGCAACATCGAGTTCAGCACGCAGCAAAGCGGTCTCGATGATCAACTGTAATCAAGCCAATGCAAATTTCATCTTATTAATATTGCAAGCTTGTGAAAAAGTCGTATACGACTATACATTTTATGTCGCAAAAAGTATACTGATTTTTTCCTCAGTAAAATTATTAACGAGGTAGGTATTTTCTCACAACAGTTATTACTCATAAATAAAAACCAATAAATGATGTGTTTTAAAATGTTTTAATTAAGACAATTAAGTTAGTTTTTAAACTCTTTTTAGTGAGCAAAGTGGGTTAAGTTTTATTTAGGTAGAGTACACTCGTGCTTATAAATGTATGATGTATACAAAGGTACTTCACAGAAATATTTAACCAATAATAAACAATTATTTTAATATAATCAAATGATGATTTCAAAGTTTAAGTTTAAATGTTATGTTTAATCTTTATGTTTAAAAAAATATGTTTATTTTAGTTTTTGTATACGTAATTAATTAATATTATTTAATTTTTATTGGTTGATTTGGTTGTTGCACTTGTGGACACACACACACAAACTGTTGTCACTGATTTATAGTAATATGAGCTCAAGAGCTATAGTGAAGGTTATTTGTAGATAATAATATTTATTAATTGTTATAGTAAGAATAAACAGATAAAATACACCAACGACGAAATTATAATAAAAAATTAAGTACCTATACTTTATATACATTGCCAAATTTATTATTGAAATTGTTTACGATTTTCGATTTAAATGGTTCCCGGTGTCGTTTAAAAACATATTTTTTTACCGAAATAAACGGGTAAGTACTTGGTATTAAATATATTAGTCCTTGTATGACATACCTACTATAGATCAAGATTTTTTTTTAAATAATTTATTTCATTGAACTAAAATTTAAAAAATGATGAATAATTTAAAACGTGTATTATAAATTCAAATTAAGATGTGAATAAAACCCATGGCCACTGTATTATTGAGAGTGTACCCATCTATGTGAAAGAAATCATGTTTTTAAACAAAATCTAAGATTACGTCATCGACGCTGATTACATGATTAATCAGAAATGGTACGAATACAAAACTAGGTATAAATTACTGAATCGAAACGTCTTGATTATTCAATTCAATCGGATATTCATATTATTTAAAAATATTTACCTTTACGCACTATTTTTATAGCTGCTGGGAACGGTACTTTTTTAATGTGTTTGTTAGAATACATTTAATTAGGTATGAAAAATGGCTAAATCAGAAATATTGTGATCGTTATTTTCTTATTTAAAAAACTCACAAAATTGAATTACAAAAATAGGTTTAAAGTTTTATTTTTGTGACCTTTTAAAAACTATTTTATTTTTCTAAGAAATATGTACTAAGTAAGCAGGTACTTAATAATAATAATAAAACGTTTATTAATCGATCTAATCAATTTGAAAAACCATCATCTTATGTGAATAGTAAAATAAAGACTAAGGATTTGACATCCGAAATTGGATAAATTCTCTTGTTACTAGTTTTGGTTTATTCGTGTATTATATGGCATTATAGCAATAAAATAATTTTGGGTACATCGTTGGAAACACATTCATGCGGTAAGAGTAGGTATACGCATATACAAACACACACTCCAACGATAAATTTACTTAGTCGTCTATACATAGGACTCCACACGAAAACGTTTTGCTTGCGATTCCACTTGAGTATATCCATCATACGAAGGCGTTCAATTGAAATTTGAATAACAGCATTAACAGGAGTATAGTCAATTTAGAATATATATTTTTTTTTAAATTCAAAACTAAGCTCCTATCGTATTTTCTCAATACGATATGCACTCACCTCCCGGTCGACTTCTTCGCGGCGCAAGTGCAACTCCACCAGCCGAGACTTGTGCGAGGACAATTCGACCAGCAGCTTCCGACGTTGTTCGGCCACCTCGGCCACCCTGTCGGCAGCAGCGAACGAAACCGTCGGAGTGGTCGTCGTGTTACCTTCTTTGGAATCCACCGCAAACGGTGACGAACGCAGCCACATCGTCGTCGTCTGCCACGAAGGCGGCGGTGATGACTGGAGGAAAGGCGACTGCAATGACTGCAGTTTCATTTGTTGCAGCGGTCGGTCGGGCGATTTCGACAAGAGGTTATCTGCAGCGGTCGGCGACGTTTTGAAACCTTCGTCGGGGCCGTCGTGCCCGTTGAGCTGACTCTGGCCGAGTTGATGGTCCTTGCCACTGTATAAATCATAATATTCAAAAACAGATGGATCGTTATACTCTCACTATCATATATCCAGAAGCTAAGTAAACATAAAAATAAAAATAATAATTATGAAATGTAAACGTAAATACTCGTAAACAACGAGAGAGTGGACGCGTGCCTTGGTATATGCATTATATATTATAACATTAATTTATATGCGCAACGAAGAAAAACAAGCCATATGTTCAATGTAAAGATAACACCTCTGGATAACGCTTCCGGTGGGCAAACGCTAACCGATGGTGATCGATTTCATTTTAAATCACGTGTATTTCGCTCGCGCACGTTATCGATGGTCTATCGATTCTAATTTTGAAATAATCTTTTCTCGGTATAGCTCTGACGGCATCACGAGTATAATATATATTAAAAAATGTATAAATTATATTATAGGAACAAGCACGTGGGACGTTCAATTCGTTATGTATTGCGGTCGATGCGCCGAAGTATCTAAGTATAGAGGGTTGGAGCAGCTTGCATGGCTCACCCATTATTGATCATTTATCATATAAACCATACAAAATGATATATTGTACATACCTACTATATTCTATAATATATTATGTTGTAGAGAGTACATAATATCGGGTTTACGAAAGTACAAAACATCTCGTTGAGATGAAACTTTTGTCAAAATCGAGGCAATATGGATGATATTTCTCAAATACAAGTATAATAATTTGAATTCATACATTTTTCTATAGAAGCCAATATTATGTGCTGTAAACATTATGTTCTACTATTTCGTTCAACTATATTATAATAAAGTTTCTTGCTTACAACGATATATTTGTGTCATTACTCATTGCAGATGCCGTTGTTGGGCGTTGCTCTAATATTATACATCGTTTTTACAATATTATTACAGTTGTTCCTGCAGATATACACCGATATATTATTATAATAGTTTTCGTGTAGTTGTTGTCACTTATGCAACAGGCGTTCCATGTAAGGTTATCCATGCGCTCATTATTATTTGTTCAACGTTCATATAAATATTAAATATATATAATAAAATACGTCGACTGGGCAAGAAATACCCGTATGACACTGTGCCGCCTTGTGTATTGTGTATTTCATATTTTAAACAATAAAAAGGAATAATATCACACTAAAAACATCATAAAAAATCTAAATAAAAACGAATCATTTAGGTATAACAAAGACGCAATAAACTTGTGACAGTGACACCATTTCAAAAGTCAAAACTGAATATGAAACAATTCTTTTATGTCAGTTAATAATTATTTATTACACTTATCTAGATAGGTATACAATATAGATGATAAAAATAGCATTTAAAAAATGGTGTGTTTTGTTAATGATAATAATATTAAGTTTATAATTTATTTGATACATTTTTTTTATTTACTTGGCCGAGAACGCGCATATTTATTCAATACCAATAATACTTAATAGTCCCGACACAGTTAATACTATACCCGGTATAAATAATATAATAAGATAAAGCTCATTAACTTACGTAAGCCATAATATATTGCAATTATTTAATTGCATTCAGAAAAGTAAATTATTGAATGAAATCCTAAATAATTACACTTTAGCAAAACAGATTATGTAAATTTAAAATTATCCACATATTATTAAATACTATACTTTATCTGTTAAATAGGTGTAATAAATTTAAAGTAATTATCTAAATAACATTCAATTACATTTTGTCATTTGAATGGGTGTAATTTAAAAGTTAAAAATTGTTCTAATTAGGTATTAGCTTTGAAAATGTGTATTATCACTTGTTATAACTAATTGACGGGTCTAATTATTATAAAACAGTTTTTTTTATACACAAGGAGAGTTCATAGTGCGTATTATTTAATGCGGGTGTGAACAATGCGGTGTTAAGTTGCTGTATAATATATTAAAGGGCACCACAAGGCATCGGCCATAAAAAACGCTTATTACGCCCCACCACCGCCCTAATTATTTATTTATTTAGCCAGTTACAAAATATACAAAATAAATCTGAGAGGCTTCTTTCAAAAAAGAAAATAATATATGATGGTAAATATAATATAAATACGCCTATCGAATATCCATTCTAACGATAACGTTGTAATAATATTTAAATATAGAAATTTTCATTTTGGCTACCTATCACATTATTTACAGACTACAGTTTTGATTTAACTTCATACGTTAAGCCTCTCAAATCTGCACTTAGCCGGTACATGCAAGCCTGGGCAAGTTAGTGATAGTTTTTAATTGAGTTAAGTTAAGTTGATAGAAAACATTTAAAAAAGTTTAAAGTTAATAGTTATCCTACATTTTTTTTAAACTCATATTAGTTATAACTTATAAGTTATATGGAAACCATTGATTACCATAATGTAAACTCCCGTTAACTTGGGGAGATAGCGTCATAGGTCTATGTGGTCGGGTAAATAAATAAATACTATAGTATTTATAATCAATGGTGGAAATTTACAATTAACTTAATAATTAAGTTAAGTTATTTATTTTTTTTTTTAATAAATAAATAGCCAGTTATATGGTTTAAAATAGTAAAAAGTAAATTATTATGCAATAATAATATATAATCAATAATAATTGTATTATATTCATTATTTAATTATTTATAAATTAACTTAACTTAGAATTGATTAAAAGTAACTCGTTATTTATTAAGTTTATATCAACAAAAATCAGTTAAGTTATAAATTAAGTTAATGATTATTAACTAACTAGTATTAACTTAATTTTAACTTTAACTCGTTTTTGCCCAGGCTTGGATATATGTTATAAATATGTTTACTGATAATAATTATTTTCCATACGTGCAAGCAACTTACATATTAAAGGTCATGGCCATGTAATTAATAATCAGTTAATTAAATACAATTTTGAAAATGTGTTTGAACGTATACAAAAAAACTTATAAGGGATGCATATTCCGTACAAATTATCAAAAAAATTCTTAGGACAAAACTGCCACGGTTTTTGATATGACTATAGGCCTATTACCACACAGTATAAACACAACATTTATCGAACTGTCATATAAATACTTATAATATTACACACAATAATTATCGACATATCCTCAACCCTACACAAAACATGTACCTGTTGTATAAATCTTCGGTGGCCGTCGTAGAAGACTGGACATGCGTTCTTATTCTGGTCCTGGGACTTCCACAAGTTGCCGATGACGACGGAACATTGTCATTTTCCAAAAATACCGAGTCATTGTCTCCTCCTGCCGCGCGCAATGACAACGGTGACAGTGTAGGGGGAGATGGGGTAGCCACGGATGGCCAGGTTGATGATGGAGACAGTGGCGATGTCATTGGTGATAGTGGCGATGTCATCGGTGACAACGGCGACGTGGGCGAAGACGTTTCTGTGGAGGATTTCTTGCTATCCCGTGGGAGCGAACCATTTGTTTTGATCCTAAAATTGGGGAAAAAATTTAGCATAGTTATAGGTATATAGGTTAGGTGGGTAACAAGTTCAGTATGCCTACGTATAATAAAAGGTGAATGATTTTTTTTCTGTATCAAATGCCAAAAAAGTATAACATTTTGATCAAGGGTCACAAAAAATATAAAAGTATTATTTTATTATTTTGATAGTTTGGAGGTGGTTATTTATACTTTATTTTTGTACGACAAACATGCATTTAATAAACTATGGTTTACAGTAAACACTAAACGTGTGCACTACTACACACTGCAATAGAAAACTATAGTGTATTACACAGCACGTCTGCACAAGTGAGTGCGTAAAGGAAATGATTAAAGCAATACTGGTACAACATCAACAAAGATGACGTTACCTAGTCCATAGTTATGGACTATGGTTATTTGTATATAAATTATAAATTTATTACGTGGGCTACACAAAATATCTTTTCAGGCTGCGGGTTGCCGACATCTTGTAAGTCACAAGGGGTTGGGGTTGTTGAACCTGGAGTACAGTGGCCCAGCTATTTTAGGGGCCCGTTGAAATGAATTTGTAAATTTGTAAATTTTAATAGAAATACTTATTTTATGATATAAATGTATAATATCATAATATATTGTGTATGGGACACGTATCGTTTGTAAAGGATTGTATTTTATCGGAAGTGACCAACGTTTTGTATAGGGCCCACAAAAAATTTAGTACAGGGGTCCAAAATTGTATGTGGGGGCCTGAGTATATTAGTGGTACAGAACACTTGGTCTTAGAAATTAGAATAGACGCGATACCCGACAATTGGAATGCTTATCATGTATTTATGTACCTATATAGGCTATAACAATTAGTATCGATTCACACAAAAGGCCAACCCGTGTCCATCGGATTCTATACGCTTAGTATAGGCTTATAGACTTATATATATTAATATGCTCTAATATAGTAGACATAACTATTAACTATACTAAACTACAGCATTTCATATATTAATGTTTTAAAAAAACATTTATATGCGATCGTTATGGTTAATTTGATTTCATCAATCGTATTAAATAATTCACATTATCCTAATGCCCAATCCTATAATGGCCCACTCCGAATTCACTTAAGCTAATGCGTATAGACGTGAGCGGGGGATATCACGATTATTGAAGAAATGGCCCATTTAATATTCGTGTTCCCCTATAATAATCCTATCTTCCGAAAAAAAACTCAATATTTATAAATTTCAAATGTCGTTTGTCCTCAGAAATACCTTGATATCAAAGACGTTATAGACAAATAAAAATGTTGCTAAAATTTTTCGATTTACTATTTTATAACAAATTTCATATAGGTATTTCCAGGACAGTCATCTTGTATTTTTATACACTGCCCTAATGCACTTTTGTTTTGGGGGGCAATATTTTGTTTTGCACACCTGCCAATGATGTCTGCATAATATTATGACGTAACAATGCGGAGATTACTTCATTAGCAATTGCAAATGCACTATGCAGTTGTATAGAGATGTATCTTACCGGTTTTGATGCGGTGGCGTGGTCGTCGACGGCGCCGCATTGGCTGGCGACGTGTTCCCTGAGCTTTCAGACTGCGCCTGCTGTCGACTTTTGTTCCGCTCTTCGTAGTCCACACACGCCTGCAATACTTCGTCCAACTGCTGTTGCAGACTGTCGGCTGTGTCCCGTTGCTTTATGTTTTCCTTGTCATCGTCCCGCCCATCTGTCAAACCACCCGACTTGTAGTTGTGCCGCTGGTAGTAGTACTACAATATAATATGTTTACATATTATTATACATACGTACAAACATAATATTACAAAATAGTACAAAATATGTTATATTATGACGAACGTTTTTGGTTTTAATTTAAGCCTTTTGTTTTTACGTTTATTATGTATAGGTAGGTATATAACATTAATGATTAATCACTTGACAAATATAGGTATTTAAATTATGGAAGCCCGACGATTATTCACAATAATATGTCCGGGTTATTGGTTTATATAAAAATCGATGGTATATTTAATGGAACTTATGTTCAAATACAGAAAGCGCTAGGTCTGTTTTTTTATAGTCGAGGAAGACCAAATAATTAATAATGAAACAATGAACAATAATGTACATTGATTTTATACATATAGATAGTGAGAGCCGGTATCCGTATTATTATTGTATTAATGAAATAATTAAGATATGAAATGCATATTAAAATTAATGTAGGTAGGTATAATAGATTCAATATGTAATATGTATATGCGATTTACAGTGTGAATGTTACATCCCGCACTATGTGGCCGATTATATATATATATATTTAAATTATATTTTCTAACTTCCATACAATTGTAATAATGGTAGAGATGCGTAATAGCTAGGTACTAACTTAATAATATAATCGAGAGATTTTTAATTTTTAATTTTAAAGTCTTTTTTTAACTTGGTAATGTTGTTTTTTTATACATGTTTATTGGAAGTAAATTGAATTAAGTTTGGAAAAAATTATATTATATATATTGCATTTTTGAAAAATAATATAAGTAGACAATTAGACTAGCAAAACTTTAATTACAATTTTTATATTTTTTTTGGTAGTATATAATGTAAAGACTTGAAAATCTTGGATTTTAGATTTTGAATCGAAGAATATTAGAGAAAGTTTCAATGGAGTTATATCAAATATCATGTTCCTATGTGCATGTGTCAATTGCCAGTCTACTTTTGGAATCGTGCAGGAGATTTTCAACCCAACCACACCCTCCCTATAACTCTAAAAATCCCCCTTCTTATTTGTTACTCATAAATCAAACCCACTCACCAATTTAACATTTACAAAGGGTGAAAATGAAGCCGATGAGGTGAATAAAAACTATATTATGATATAATAACTTGAAAGTTAATAACAATAGTAGATACTAGCTGATAATATAGTAGAACAATTGGCATAACAATAAAGATGACTTTTTCTTTGAAATATAACTATGTGCATTTTAAAATATGCTATAATTTACATCAAACTTTGAATTAAAAATCAATAAGTTCAATATATATTTTTTATTAACTCGTTTGAATTCAGATGAACGATGTATAAATGTGGCATAGTGAGATTTGTTAAGAATAGTTATATTTATATATTACTGTTTCATATTATCTGCTTTAGCTTATAAACTGTACCTACTGCTATTAGTATCTACTCGATCTTACCTCCACTACGAGACACGCGTTGCGAAATGTAACGAAGGGATAATTTTAAAAGTCCCGTGACTCACGAAACCCCTTTTACGCCGCCATACATACAACAACCCTATAACCGTTATCGACAAAATAGTCTAAATGGCACGTAGTCCATCGTTACAAAATGTGTGTCCCTCCTATATATAACAAAAAAAAAAAATACATTTCAATATAAGTCGTTCCCTACTAATTTAACGGCGAATACAATTCCCGCATAATATATTTACAGATCGGAAAATGGGCAGATATAATATACCTATATCATGAATAAAATTATAAGTATACCTCTATTCAACAGTTATTACCATAATAAACAAAAAATGTTAACTCGCAAAATCTTACTTTTGAACTGTTTGTGTGGTGCAGATCGTTGTGGTCCTGATGATCGCCGGTGGCGTGCACGACGTTTTGCACGTTTCCCAGCGGTACGGTGGCGGTGATCGGTGGCGGCGACTTGGGGACATGGTGGTGATGATGGTGGTGATGATGCACCGGGAAACCGATGACGGGATTCCGGTCGTAGTAAGGGCTGGGTAGTGACAAAGGTGACGGCGGCGGTGGGGTAGTAACCGCTTCGTCCTGCGGGCGTCCGGGACGAGCGGCGGTAGCGGCGACTGTGGCGTCATCGGCTTCGGTCGGCGAACCGGTGAAGTCGGAGGGTACGTCCGAACCCCGGTGGTGGTGAGGGTGATCGTAGCGACCTGCCGTGTCGGTGACGCCGGTCGACCATGGAGACGTCCCGCCGGGCGGTGACGTCTCGGACACCGGCACCGGTTGGTCTAACAGGGCCTCGAACCCGGTGCGATCGTGCCGCCGTTGTGGTTGCTGCAGCTGCAGCTGCAATTGCATCTGTTGCTTTTTGACGTTCATCGAGACGGCGGAGGTGGCGGCGTGACTCTGTGCGTCTCAATACAATATTTCATACCTACAGATTGAAAGACGATCGTGTTATGTTATTATAATAATAGTTTATTTTATACGCGCACAATAATATTATTGTTCACGCACGATGACCAACATTATGCGACGACCATCATATTATGTCATAATAAAGATCTTATAAAATTAATATTAATAATATAATCGTAATAAAAAGAAGCGCACACGCACGCATACAATGATATGATATTTAATATTACGCGTGCGCATCAGGCGTCTACGGTACCTAATATGTACATTTAACAATAATTACGTGTAAATACACAACGATCGAGTAGGTACGATTTATGCACAGACTTATTATACGAGTGTTTAATATTATATTATTATAATAATTACGATATTGATATAACGACAATATTATAAGGTAACGTATTAATATAATAATACAATATTTATATAGGAAAACGGGACTCGAGTACCGCTTGTGTGATGACGGCAATAATGATAATATTATAGTGTTTTATACTAATCGTCGACGGCTTTAATTACAACAACGACAGTTGTAAATTGTAATACAACGAGACCGATATAAATGATAAATTATAATGAATTCACCGACAACGCCCCGCCCGTCGTCTTCGTGTATTATAATATATATACGCACAAATAAAAGTGACGAGCTGAATAAGAGATAACAATAATTATAACTATTTTATTGACGACGGCGGTACGTTTGACGACGCGGTTGCAATATGAACGTTGTTTTTTATTAATTTTTTTTTATTCGTACCTATGTAATCGATTGGCGAAGACGCGGCACGTTTGCTAATAATATTTTATGTCTGCATCATGCCGCGCCGCTGCCACCACTTGAGAAAAATAATATAATATTATTATATACATCAGAGACCAAACATAAACCTAATAATTTTATACCACGGGTGGTTCGTATGGTTTTCAAATGTAGTGACATTTTTTCTACGCAAATGTAAAAGCCTCGGCAGACAAATTGGTTTTCAATTTTAAAACTATATACATGCTGCAATTTATAGTTCAGTGATACAATAAATATATCATTTTATACATTGGCAGGTGCCTACACATGTTTTTGGTATCACAAATATAACTTTTTCGAATTAAAAGATTTTTATTTTGTAATCATGAAAAATCAATCGTGACACTATTCTAATGTAACTAGTAAGTTGAAATGTTGTAATTTATATCGGTAGAAATATATAATAAAAACATTATCACACATATTATAGTTTATAGTGGGTAAGACAGTCATTTGCATACCTACCTACTGTAATAATAATTTATAATTATATATTACACATAACGAGGTAGAAAATTTTTTATATTTTAACTTTTAAGGTTAACTGCCTACGTTTATTTTATAAAAAAACATTTACACAATACTAAGTACAACGAAATACTAGAAATACAAATATATAGCTATTAGGTGGTATTATAATATTATTACTATATTACAGACATTTGGTAAATCATTGAAATATGTTTTACGAAGAATGAATATTTTATATTTTAATTTTTAAATATTCATGAACATATTCATAATAATTAAAACCGTAATTTTATATGTTTAATGTCTACTCGGCATTTGTTACAACAACAGTATACACATACATACGTCATATACCATCAGTATATGACAGTATCTTTACGATAGGTCTGAAGTAACGACGACGATGGAAAAGTAAACGACAGTGTAATATAACGCAAACAACAACGCATACATAATTAATGTGGTTAAACGACGTTAGTGAAATTACAGTACATTTTTTGTAAACGAGATACAATTAGTATATACCTCCCACAGTTCTACACGCATTATGTTATATACATAGGCATTATATAGGCACTAAAAAATATGTCTATAAGACAATAAACTGCTGTAGTGCACTAGTGCGCTATATATATATATATATTATATCATATAATATGTTAAATCATATGATATCATGAAGATTGCTGGGCACAATTGATAAATTAATTATTTGGCCGTCGCCCTCGCCGGTGCTGTGATCATGATTAATTGAAAAACCACGTCGTATTAGGTGCACACCGGTAGTCAGACACACGTCATGTAGTTTAATGTTGCTGGAAGACCACCCGTGTCTGTCGGTCCCCCCCGAAAACAGAACGATGGCTGCGTAGTATCCTACAATTATATGAACGAACCAAAATAGGTACACAGAAATATATTTTAAGCTACCGCAGCGTGCACCTGGTTAAGTGAAAATTTAGTTCAAAAATATTTTCCAAAATGTATCTAATATATTATTCCCAGGGTCGCATGTTTATATTATAATATTATATGCAACACGCCAACACCTATACATAGGTTATGCACCGGATCTTTTTCAGGAAAAAGTTACAGACCTATAAGCTTAGCCGGAATATCGTTGGTTTTCATTGCAAGTATTTTCGATCATCGCGTATACCAGCGAGCAACAGCGATCGAGTGCCAAACGATCGAATAATAATTATTGGCACGTGCTGACCTATACCGATGAAATCATTTACATATGTTCGCATATTATGTTAATACACCTAATAATATATGATTCTCGTACATTGTATGCACATAATTATAATATACGGACTTGGGATTTATCACGTTGTTACATCCGTTCAGGAATTCCCTGCAGCACATCTAGTTATTTTCAAAAGGTTTTTTGTCCGCTGCGAAGGATGTTATGTACCTATAACCTATACCTAAGTACCTATATAGTTTACGTAGATATACGTATAAGACGTGTAAGTAAGAACATGTTACATTCGCAACGGATGGAATTTATAACGCAGAATATGTATACAAAGGACGGACAGACAAACGCAAACGGAATTTATACATATTTACTTATCAATCGTGGACGGAATTTACACATATCCGAAGTGCATATTTGTTTATTATACTGCATCCGATAAACACAAACAATTACACCTATCTACGATGTTGTAATAATGAAATGTCGATTTTTGAATCCGATTGTTGTCTGCAGTTGAATACAATAATATTGTTGCCCCGACCGTATCTCGTACGATTTGTTCGCGTGGGAACACTCGTACCCGCTCTCTCACATAATATACATTCCGGGGGGATATTTTGGTTTTTGAATATCGTTTGGAAACGCGACCATAAACACGGTATATACCTATACGTATATTATATTTTAAGGCCTCGCGGGCATTCCAGTCCGTCCGGCACACCTCCGTGTTTCGATTTTCGGGCCGTAAAGGTTGAATTTATTTATTATTTTACATTATTTATTTATTTTTGGGTTCTATATGTACAGGGGCGAGGATTTAAACGCAGCGATGCGGTTCCCGGCCTGCAAGCGTTTACCACCGGAAACCCAACCTCGTCCACACGGTGCACATGCATTTTAAAAACAATAATATTGTGAATAGGTACCACGCATAACCGTGGTAGCCACTTGTGGCTGTCGCCTATGGGCGCGAAATCACTATTAGCCACTTGTTCCCGCACGCATCTGCATAGTACAACGTATATTTTGTCGGTCGGCCGATTTGTGCTAACCGGTTCGTTTTGCCACCCCCGCATCACCACCCCCCCCTCATGGTCATCAGTCCCACGTGCGGGCTCGTTCTAAACAAACAAAATCGTGGGAAACATCGTCGGAGCCGATACGGGAGCAGCCGCGGCGAACGCAGACGACAAATCGTATGAAAAAAACGATCCGCGGAATCGGCGCGAAAACCGCAACGTCGGCCGTATAAAACTGCAGCAGCAACCGAGGTAATAACAATAACAATGTGGTACAACGATCGATTGTTATTGGAATGATAAATATTATGACGTATAACTACGTAACGATGATGGTGTTGTTATTATTATATTATTGACATGGTCGCGAGACGGTTTTTTTTATTTTTCCGGAGCAATGGCTGTTATTGTTATACAATATATAGGTACCTACTACCTACATAATACAACATGGCGCGATATTATTTTTGGTGCCCGCGGTAAGTGCGAGAAAAAAATCGTTTCGAGACGGCCAAACAACGCAATCCACGATCTGATAATAGTGTATAACATAAAATATTACGGTTTTTTGATTTTTTACAGAGGCCGTTTCGTTGTTGACCGCCCGCCTCCCGTCGTGATATATCATGTGTCACGACGATGGTAAAAAAGAGCGTTTTTTTTTTTAATGATTTTTTAATAATATGCAAAAATTAAAACCTCGCTCCAGAGATTGCGTACGCTGCGTGTACCACACACTGTACATACACTTTTAGTACCGCATTATGCCATATACGTATAATATTATGGTACTCGACTTTAACTCTTACAATAATAATAATAATATTATTATATATCGTCGTGCACGCACTAAAATAACGAGGGCCCCGTCATCGCCGCACGCCTCGCCGCGGTCGTTACGACCTAAATAAATCGTGTTAAAAATAATATAGATACCGGCGTTACCGTAGTAACAACTAGTTTTTACTAATTTTTTTTACATCTTACTCCGGCGGCGGCGGACGCGCAATAAATAACGTTACGATCCGCCGCCGCCGCCGATGATAAATAATAATCGACCGAACAGCGGACGGTCGTGACAATAATTAGTGGTGCGGCTAATAAAACATCAAATCGATGATACAAATCGACCGCCGAAAGGGACGGCTGTGTAAGTAACTAAGTAATAAGTGCAGGACGTGTGTGTATACCTATAATGAGTCGAAAATCAAGTAGCTCTCGAGGTGACCAAAAGGGGGCAGCGCTCGAGTCATTCGTGTCGAATCGTTTTTACGACGGCCTCAATAAATATATTATACGTATCAATTTTCAAACACAAGCCCATAATCGTACCTATTCAAAAACTATGGTTTCGTCTCGTATTGTTACAGTAATACAGTGAGTCGTCGTTAAACGTTGGCTAATTTAACGTCGTTTCGCTATTACGTCGTAGGATTTCAAATCAAGTGTTCCGTTTAACAATTTATAAAGCGACAGTTTTAGTATACAACGCCGTTTATCAGATTAATACGTAATTTAATTTTAGTTTTTTTATATCATGTAAACGCATTTTACTTACAGTAAATGATTACAACAACGACGAATATCGTTGCGATTTACGCGGTAAACTCGCGGGCGCGCGGTCCGGGAGGCGTATCCGATATAATAATTAATATTATATTATTGTCGTAGTGGTCGCGAGTCGTCGTGCAACAGCTGTCGGTCGGTTGTGCCGTCTCATGACTCGGCGGCGACGGCGACGGCGATTTGAACGCGCGGACAGCAACGGAAAAGCCGGAGAGTCGGCGCTGCGCGGACGGCGTGCGACTGCTGAACGACACGGTGCATCGGCGCCGTTGCTGGTTGCACACTGCTGTCCGCGGTCCGCGGTCCGCCGGTCGGCGGCGCAGCAACAAAACACCGCCGCCGACAAATATGCCCATGAAACGCCTCTACGCGCGTGCGCGCCGCCGCGGTAATAATAATATTTTCGTACCGCCGGCAAGGCAGCAGCTGCCGCCGCGGACGCGGCAGCCGGTCCCACGCGGCGGCCCTACGGACGACGGACGGACGTCGACGCTGGCGCTCCTCCGCGGGTTTATAAAAAAATAATAATAATAATAAGAATAACGAAGACGATCGCGGTCGGCGTCTACATTATTATTATTATTATTATATAGGTAGTGCGTGCGTGTTTGCGTGTGCGTGAGGTATGCGTGCGTGTGCGTGAGGTATGCGTGCGAGCAGTACGTGTGCGTGCGTGTGGTTGCATCCGTCACCGCTTTGTGTGCAGCGGCGGCAGCTGCGGAGATTATAGCGACGTAGTGCAATGCCGCCGCCGACGGTGCAGCCCGTCGAAGAGAGGAATTTTCGTCGTCGCTGTGTGATAATATTATTATTATTGTCGACGACGGACGGCGACGGGTCGCACGGCAGACGATTCTACCAGCGGTATTGCAGGCAATTGGCACGACGCGTGGCGCGACAAACCAGTCGACGGCGTTGACAATATTTTCTTTTACAATATTATTGTGAAAATATGTAATAATATTATATTTTCATTATTTCTTTAATATCTGCGGGATCTGTACGTGATCTTAATACCGGTACACCGCAAGTACATGACGGCTGCACAGTTCTTCACTTGTTATATTAGGTATATAATATAGGTATGATTGGTATGAACCATGAGGTATAAATCATAAATTAATTATAATAAAATATTGTTATGGTATTTTATCGAGAAAAAATCGAGTATTCTTCACTTGCGTTTGGAAATATTTCGATGGCGAACCACCACGACCTACAAATCGAAAGAAAATTGATTATTTTGCCCGCAAATTATTAATTAAACGAGTGAAAAAAGAATATATATGTAACTACTAACTACGCGTTTGAATTCGATTATATTATATTGTTTTCGAAACGAATTGGCCGAGATTACGTAATCGTCGATGATCACGAAGCAGAAATGCTAACGATGAAACGATTCGCGTTTGCTGAATAAAATAATAATGGTAAAGATAAATAAATAGTTTTTTTTTACGGGCTGTATATTATAATGTAGTCTTGTTGAACACGTTGGTATTTGTATTGTTAATTAATTCTATTTATTTTTTATCATTTCAAGATTGGAGCCGGCATAAATAAAAGTAATAATATATTCGCCAATTATACCTATATAATAAAACACATATTTTTCACCGTCGGTATAGAGAAGTCAAAGAACCTACCTAAGAAACACATTTGCATGCGTGACCCGTGTAAAATGTTATGCTATATTATAGTAGGTATACCTATTACTGTTATTACTACCTATTTAAATATCCATATTATATTTACAATATTATACTCGGACACTCGGTGGCGAAGTTGTAAATATACATAATATATTCGTAGCCAAAAACCGATTACCTACTTAACTCTAAAAATTGAATACATATACCAATTTACTGACGTATGCTAATATTATGTATATTATATGATTATATATTTAAATGTACCCAAATTTAAACATTGAATAAAACCAAAAAAAATTGCATTTAATTAACGAATGTTTATAAGGATTCTACAATTCAATCGAAAAAGTTTTTACTCAACAATTTTTATAATTTTATGTATAGAGTTGTGTTATGTTATATTATTATTCTAATAATAATTTTGTACGACCTGTGATGTCGACGTACGCTAAACATACATTTCTTACAATAATAAGTATAATGTATATATAGGTACCAAAGGTGGGCATTAACTAGTTAAAAAGTTAAAGTTAAGTTAAAAAGTTAATTTTTTTTAAACTTTTTAACTTAACTAGTTAGTTTGTTTTCTAATTAACTTATGAACTTAACTAGTTTAATTTATAGTTGAAATAACTTAGCTTTTCTCAGTTGATTTAAAAAAAAAACCAATAAGTTAAAAACATTTTGAAATTTTTCGTTTATGCGTAAATTTTACTATATCATTATAAAATAAAAATAATCCAATACTATAATAACACAAACATTTCTGTACTTTTTCTTGATAACATAATTTTGTGTATATTATTATATTTTATTTATTAGAAAGGCAATAAGCTATTGTCATTTTATAGTATTAGATGTTTGCAGTACAAATATGAAATAAGTAATTACAATAATTTATTATCAATAAGAAAAAATACAGCTGACCACCAGATTCTGAAAATTGGAAAGAAAATTCTAAAGATAACTTGAAAACTAAATTATCGTTTAAAGTAAATAGTTATAGTCATGTATAATATATACATGATAATTGATAATATTATGCTGGTCTATACTTGTAGACAATAATACAATATTATGAATTATAAATAGTGCGCTTGCAATGCTTGCATCGACCAGTTCCTTACGTTGTCCGTAATCGTACTTTATCATAATCGTCAATCGTTTACCTATTGTGTGCGATATTTATTTAATCCATATCGATTATAGGTATTGTTATAATATTATATGGTAGACATTTTATATATCCGAAATTAAAAATGTCATTAAGTACGGTAACGAGTAGTGAAAATACAAGAGATCTTCAATCTTCAAATAGTTTAAAATGGCCGTGCGTTAGTGCTTTTTTTCAACAAATATTTGATTCTGCAACCAATACTCTCAATAATTCTTTAACATTTAAATGTTTGTTATGTGTACCCAGAAGAAAAGTGTCATGTTTTAATTTTATATAACTTATATATATATATATGAAGGTCATGTACTCGGCTTCACGTATTATGACATTCAATTGCTATTAATTTGAGATGAGTATAGTTTAATTTAATAAATAATAAAAAAGTAAAAGGGTATACACTATACAGTGTACATTATGATAAAAGTTAAATCAAATTGATTTATAATTTATAAATTAGAAACTAGAAAGACACATTCACTCTACATGTGATTTACTTAATAATTAAAAAAAAATAGATTAACTTTTTTTAAACTGAGTTAAGTTAATTTTTTTTCTATTAACTTTTAACTTATCGAGTTAAATTTATAATTTGTTAACTGTTAACTTTTAACTTATCAATCTCGTGTCCTCTTAACTTAACTTAACTCGAGTTAATTATTTTCATTAACTTGCCCACCTTTGATAGGTACTATAATATACGTAGGTACCTATATAATGTGTAAATAAATCAAATGGAAAATTCCTTATTAGAATTTTGAAGCAGAACTAATTTAAGATGATAATAGTCGCATCGTGATTATCGCAATAACAAAAATAGAAAAGATTACCTTTCGGTTATCGATTTTATTGATTTGTAAACGTTGGTATATATTCTACACGTATATGAACTATAACGGTGAAAAGTTGAGAGCACGTGGTTAATGCGTAGGTATACATTAGGTACTGCATAATATAGTGATATGTAATAAGAGTGGTATTGCAGTTATCAATAAGATATTCGCGAAAAAAAAGTACAAAAAAAATGTTGGATTGTGCAATTTTTTTGATGAAGATAATCTACCAAATTATAAAATGTTATCCTTATATTAGCTTTTAATTTCAAGCCTCTTGGTAATTAAATAATTAACCAAGAAGATCACTGATCAATTAATTAGGGTTCATATAATATTATATGACTAAAGAACATTTTTACATTTCCATTTCCTCAAGCCCACTCATCTGCAGAGGTCTCTGACCTCTGATGTCTGCGGTAACTGGTAACACACTAATACCTCACCAACTAATATTAATACCAACCAGTCCTTCATCAACATCTAATAAAGAAAATGTTCTCTCTAGATGATTCCAAATCTATCATCAACCCACTTCTAACACTCTTAACCTCCGTAATGTCGAATAAACCAAATGGTTCATTTTAAATCATTCGTCTTTTCATATCCCACCCAGCACTCCTCATTCTAATGATTCTAATCGTGTGGGGTCGACAGCCAGTTGATCGCTATTGACTGGTGTCGATCGTATTAAAAATAAATTATACCAATATCGATTGATCGCGTGATGCGTAATCTTAAACACACTTTTACGCTATATATACAAAGTAAAATATTTATTAAAGAAAAAAAAATGCAATTTTCAGATGGAGAATTAATAAAAGAAAAATAGGTACCTATTATTATACAATTTTTTATTATGCTGCGTGTAAATATAAATATTACGCCTAAATAAATAGTGGTCAAATCCTGTTGTGGAGTATAAACGGTGTACCTATCTATAATGATATACCTACTAATCAATGATATACCTACTAATAAACTTTAATAAAAGGTGGACAAGTGGGTGTCGCTCTGCTGTACAGTAGGTTATGCTGGTTAAGCTGGGTTGGGTATATCATAGTTACATGTAACTCAGTTATGTAACTTGAATACTTTTGTAACTTGTAACAAGTTACTAATTTACAATTTATCTTGTAACTTGCAACTATTATATGAAAGTTTAATAATATTAAAATAACTTAATATAAAAGCTACAAGTTACAGTTAAAAGTTACATTGTGCTTTTTGTGCTTTGATAATTCATAAGTTTGTCTACCTTTATAAAAAAGAATATCTAGTATTTATAGGACGCCCTATGGTCATTCGTTTTAGATTTACACCAAAAACAAAAACCGATTTTGTGTAGAAATTCCCGTTTTTCTTTAATTTTTTTCTTCCTCAGCGCTTTTGAAAACTACTGCGGGGAATTGGACCTCCTTAATACACCAACTAGATTCACTTTCCCAACGAACAACATACTGAAGATGAAAATCGAAGTATTATTTTGACTACTTGTAGTGTATACACAGACACAAATAAAAATAAAAATAATAAAAATAAACACACATTATTGTCAATCAATACATTCCTCGCTCATCTCAGAATCTAAAATAAAAATAGATGTATGGACATGTGGCAACTTTAATAAACTAAACTATAGGCGTTTCGCCAATGGTTTTTCTCCATTCATCAGTTATTTTCCGTATGCCTTAAAA